TAGAGTAAACTGGCAGGTGGGCAGTCATCACACCCAAGCTCTCGAGCCTGTGGGAAAGGATGAGATTGCCCAGGAAGCAGAGGGGTCAGGGACTGGCCCTAAGGAGTGGCCTTGGGTCAGTATGAAGAGAAAAGGCTTCTCCTCCTGAGGGGTAGCCCAGAGCCAGACCTGTAGAGAGCCACAGAAACACTGGCAACGGGGATGACTTAATTAATTTTTAAAAACCCAACAAACTTTTAGAAAGTCACCAAAAGGATACAAGCTTATCTTTTCTTTGTGTCTTTCTTTTTTTCTTGGAACCCTCAGAGGAAGGGGACACCATTTTCCAGGGAGTGGAGGTGGCCAATTCCTCCGGGAGCCCCACTTGAAGTGTGCTGGGATTTGTGCCCGGCCTCAGTGCTTCTGCAGAGGAAGGAGGACTCCTTGGAGCTGCTGGAAGGAGCAGCTAAGAAGGACATTTTTACCAGCAAGAGGAGGGACCCTTCTCATTCCTGGAGGAGAAGTGGGGTCCCCAAGGCTGCAGAGATGGCTGGAGCCTCCCAGCCCTGCACCCAGAGTTTTCCTCCTACCAGGGTCTCAGGGCTTCACTGTGGGCACCATAGGCCTGAAACCCCAGCCAGGAGCTCTGGTGTCTTTAAGGCCCACATCCTTGATCCCGTGAACTGGGCAGGGTCAGGCTGGACTGGATGGAGGGACACTGACACAGAGGGTGACCTACAGGGAATGAAGCCCCAGAGGCCAGGGATCCTGGGGCTCTAGCAGGGCCTGGGCATTTCATTGTGGTTTAAGCTGGCTGTGTTACCTGCAGCAAGGAGCATCCTGAGGGACCCAGAGGCCTTTCCCAGATAAGGGGGCTGGACAAAATGGCCCTCTAACCCCTAACACGGGTGAGACACAGGTGAACCCAGAGATTTAGACCCCAGCTCAAATAGTGTCACTGTCTGACACACCCAGATAGCCTCTTTAAAATTTTTCTGTTTCCTCTGCTAAGTTGAGTATATATACGTGCAAGTGGACAGTCACAAATAGACGTTCAGCTACATCCTTCCCTGGGTCAATAATGCTTAGATTGGGGCTGAGTCTCCATCTTGCATCTCCATGTAGAAGTGTTAACTGAGCCCTGATCCCCAATCCTCCAAACCTCAAGCACTCTCTCTTTCACTTCCAGGCAGACTCTATCTCAGTGGTGATGGGACGCCTCCGTGGTACAATGGCAGTAAAAACAATCGCTAGAAACACCACCCACTTTCCTCTTTTACTGGACACAGCTCCCCATTAAAGTGTGTACATGGTGTGGGGAAGGGGTATCCTCGAGAAACAGCAGGAACCACACTTTCTGGAGGCCACCCGGCCCCCACATTCTGTTCAATCAGCGTTCCCTTGAGATACTGCTCAGCAGGGCCACTTCCAGCCAGAACTCCGCCAGAGCGTCAGATGAGACCACTGTACCCGCCCTTTGCCAACAGCAAAGTTGGACAGAGTTGCTGCTTTCAAGGCCCCTCGACAAGGTCACTAGCCCCTCATTCTTGGTCTGCTCTGTGTGCAGGCACCAGGGAGACTAGAAGAGTCCAGCCTTTCCCACAGCCCCTAGGAGCTTGCTTGTCCTTAGGGAGGGCAAAGAAACCTCACTGCCTCCATCTGCTTGGCAGGTCGTGCCAAGGAAGGAGACTTTGTCAAAAAGCATATGACCTTCTTGGGGGTTGGCTTCTGTGTGGACATCAGGGGACAGCAGTGGCTCTCAAGTAGGGTTCTGTCTTGAATGAGGTCTGTACTGACAAACGTGACCTGGCAGTCTGAGCCAGACCAGGCAGCCTGACCCTTCTTTCAGGGCAATGCAGGGCACCCACCCACTGAGGCAGGTGGCAGTGGGCATTGGAAAACATTCTTCCTCCTTAATGTTCCTTCTGCCAGGGATGTGGGGTGATTTGTGGCACCCAAGAGGATTTGAAAGGTCCCCACCTCTTTCTGTACTTCACATCCTTGGGAAGGTTTTAAGGGGGTTGGGTGTGTAAGGCCTGAGCTGACCCTGAATCGTCCTCACTCCTCCCCACAAACACTGGGCTTCTTGATGATGGTGACAATTCCAGGCCTTCAGGGAACAGGCTACTGACAATCATGAGCAATAGGTGTAGGGCAACAGGGGGTGGTGAGGACTGCGGCAGGCTGGAGAGCACAGCCAGACCTGAAGACTTTCAGGCTCCAATAGAAACTAACGCATGTGGCATACACTGAACACATCCAGCGGCACTGGCCCAGCGGCCCTTGGTTTTTGTCTTTGGGCTCTAGACTGAACAAGCAGAGGAGCAGAGAGCCACTGGGATTTCCGTGTCCCCTATGTTACCTGGAAGAGGAAAAGGAGGATCAAAGAAGGGCACACACCAGTAGAGGGGGAGAGGCGAGAGCTGAATCATGGAGGTTTGAAGAAGTAGGAAGATTGTTGTTCTTTGGTTGTTTGTTTTGTTTTTGTTTTTCTGTCTGTTTTTGAGTGGGGGACAAGTGATCATGAAGCTGGGATGTGTCTGCAAGTCCCTGCCACCTCCCTGAGGGTTTAACTGTGAAGTTAGATGCGTGTGAGCCTCGTTCATCCACCACCCTGGTGGGTGACACTGAGGGTACTAAAGGATGGCCCGGGGAAGGGTGCTGCTCTGTCCCCAACTCAACCCTGGTGGCAGGGGCACGAGTGATGTGGGAAGAAACAGCTGTCAGGGGTTATTCAGTGTCCAGGAGACAAACTCTTTTTCCAAAAAATATCCTAGAGCAAGTATCACAAAGTATACAATATAATTTAGCTGCGTGAACCTGTTAGAAGATGCCGTGGACTCACAAAGTCAGTTACTCCTTTCCAGGTCTCCTGTCATCCTTCTGACCACATCAAAGAAATGATCTCTGTGCTAGTCTATCTTAAGGCTTTTGTAACGCTTGCTAATCAGCTTCAGCCTTTGGTGCCTTTTGCAGGTCGAAATGTCTAGAACTGATAACATTTTTCTTCTTGTTGCATTTATTTATAGCAGTTATCTTTGATTTATGGCAAGATGGTGAGATGCTGGCTTTTCCATTTATGGTAGTGATTTAAAGTATCCTTTAAAAATTTTAGGCGCTGCATAAAGAAATACCCAACCATAAATACAGCAGGAAGGTATAGAACATGACCCTTGAAGTAGGGGAGGCTGCTGGTTGAGTTTCACTCATGGTTTGAAGAGGATGGAAGCAATGACAACCACTGGAGGAATGTGTCATGGGTTCTAGGACAGCACCTGGACACAACTCTGGGCTGGCTCCCTCACACTTCATGATTCAACTCATGCCGCCTCTTATGGGAAGCCCTCCTGGATTCCCAGCTCTGGAGTCATCTCTCTTGTGATACACTAGGATTCCAGTTCCAACTTTCTCTGGAACCAACCAGCTGGGTCATCAGAGGTCACAAGAGCAGATGCCTCTAGGGAGTGAGGAGAGGAGGGATCTGCCGCTAACCGCAAGGTAAGTGCCCCATTTAACGGCCGCTAAGCAGGAGTGTGGGTCTAGCGTGGCCACATCTTCCAATTTCTCAAGAAAAGTTACAAATCTAAATTTCCATGGGATGTCTCACCATGCCTGGGGCCTGGATCCAGCCTCAGGCACCCTTAGTGACACAGAAAGAGCCCAGCTTGCAGGTGAAGATGGCTGTTCAGCTGCAGCACCTTCACACCCAGGCCCCAGAATTGAAAGAACCGAGAACGTGAGATCACAGTTGGAGCCTGCTGTATAAGCCCTGTTTCCCCCTATGACTGGGACCTCCTGGCCAGCAGGGAGAGACCTGAGTCGTCTCTGGGTCCTCTGCCCTGGCCAAGGCAAAGGCCAAAGCCCTAGCCACACAGGCCTGGGGCAGGGCGAATGAGAAGATCAAAGGGGCTGGTGTTCACCCTCTGAGGAAGTGAGGCAGAAATTGGGGGTCCCAGAACAGAGATGTTCAACAGCCCGAAAGGAGGCTCCCAGGCGGACCCTGGGGAGAGGCCGCTGAGCATAGCCAGCATGGGAGGATCAGGGCTTTGCTGGGGAGGAGAGATCGGGGACAGGTTCTGGTTGGCAATGGCCTCTAACAGCAAACTGGCCCCAGGATGAACCAAGGTGCCCTTGGATGCTCGAGTGGAAAAGGTGGGCAGATCTTGGAGAGGCCATTTCAGGTTGGGGCCTGGGAGTGCAATGGTGGGAGGACAGAATGTATACGTGGGGTTGAGGACAGGTGAGGGCAGGAGCCTGACTGTGCTCATGGGCAGAGAGCCCAGGTCTGGCAGGAAGACGCTGTGCTGAGACTGCAGCGGAGGGATGGGAAGGCAGATGGGGGACGGGGGACTGGGGACAGGGACTTCAGAGGAAGAGGAGCTGGGGATTGAAAGAATCTTGCCTCTCAGTAAGGTCAAAAGTTGATCTTTGGGGTCGCAGCCTGGGTGTACCCTCCTAACAGCATCTTCTGGCCTTTGTGGTCTCCATCTGGGCATCAGGCCTGGCTCAGCCCCTAGGACCCAGTAGTCAGTCCCCCTTCCCCTTTCATTCCTGCACCGCGTCCTGCCCCAGGGCACAGAGAGAGGGTGATACATCCTTTGATTCCCACTGATGGGTAGGACCCGGCAACCCGAGGACTCTCTAGGTGGGGACGTTCGGCCGGCGCAGCTCTCGGAGGTTGTGCGCCTGGGGTGGCTGGCGGCGGGGCTCCCCGGGCCCGGCCCGTGGCGCTTCTCTGCCGCCGCCTCGGGGTGTCTCTGCTTCGCTGCGAGCCCGGCACCGCGGCGGCGGCGGCGCGAAGAGGAAAGCGGGCGGCGGCGGCCGCGCCAAAAAGCGCCGGGTCACCGCAGGCTGAGGCGCCCGCCGTCCCCGCCCTCCCCCTCGCTCGCCTCCCTCCCGCCCGCCTCCCTCGCTCGCTCGCTCGCTCGTTCCTTCCCTCTCCCCGCCTTCCCTCCGCGCTCCCCCCGCTCTCCCCTCCGCGCCCCGCCTCCTCCGCCCCGCGCCCTGCGGTGCTGCAGCTGCGGGCGGCTCCAGCTGCCCCCAGATGTGGGCTGGGCGGCGCGCGGGGAACTTTCGCGCCGGCTGGGAGTGCGGGGCCCCGGCTGCAGTCCGGCTGCCATGGATCCACCGGCGGGAGCCGCTCGCCGCCTGCTCTGCCTCGCGCTGCTGCTGCTACTGCTGCCGCCGCTCCTACTGCCGCCGCCGCCCGCGAACGCCAGGCTAGCAGCCGCCGCCGACCCCCCAGGTAGGTGCTGCCGGGCCCCCACGTCCCGCGCACCCCGCCTGCCGGGCCCCGTCCCGCGCACCCCGCCGCCCCCTCCCCAGACGTCGTCCAGCCTGACTTGGGCAAACTCCGCTCGCCCCGCCCGGGGCCAAGTTGGCTAACTTCGGGGCCAGGTTGGTCGCGCAGGGGGCGCCCCGCGGCGCACCAGAGCGCCTTGGGCCGGGGGGAGCTTCGGAGCACTGGCGGCTCCCGAGTCGCTGAGGGTGCAGACGGAGGGCCGGGGAAGCCCCGCGGCGGAGGGCGCAGAGTCAGCCCCAGCGGGTCCCGGGGAGCCAGGGTGAGGCGGCGCCTGGACTAGCGTCCGGGGACGCTCAGGAAGAGCCGGCTGCCCAGAGCGTCGCCTTGGGCCCTGAGGATTGGCTGGGGCGCCCCGGAGGGGATCCCTGGAGATCGGAGGGACCCTGCTCCACCCCTCCCTGTCCTCGGGCGCTAGGGGAGAGGCGGACGGCAGCAGGCTGAGCGGGAGCTGGACAGGCAGGACAGGCCGCCAGTGCTCCGGGAAGCCGAGTCTCCGCCGTTCCGGAGGGCAGCGGTGACAGCACTCTGGCGGCAGGGGCCGCCGAGGGGTCGTGGCGCCCGCGTAAGGGGGCCAACCTGGAATGGCTTCCGAGCAGCCCCGCGTCCTGCCAAGGACTATAGGTTCAAGGGTCGAGCGACTGTCTGACGGGGTCGTCCCTTCGGGCACAGGGAGCTTCCCACCGAGCCCCAATCAGGAACAGGGCAGGAGGCAGAGCTCTTGGCAGGCAGGGTCCCCGGCTTGGGGGTGGCGAAGCCCTGGAGTGGTGGCCCTGTTAACGCCCCTTCCCGGTTGCAGGAAAGCCGGGGATGTGCAGGCTCTGCTTCTGGGGTTGCCTGGCGGAATGCCTCTTCCCCTCGCAGTGGGGCGGGGTCTGGGGGGCGTGGCTTGCCGGCGGGGCTCTGGGGCTCTGCGGATCTAACGCCCCTTCCCGTTGCAGGCGGGTCCCTGGGGCACGGAGCCGAGCGCATCCTGGCGGTGCCCGTGCGCACTGACGCCCAGGGCCGCTTGGTGTCCCACGTGGTGTCGGGAGCTACAGCCGGGGCAGGGGTACGAGCCCGCAGGGCCGCCCCAGTCCGGACCCCGAGCTTCCCCGGAGGCAACGAGGAGGACCCTGGCAACCACCTCTTCTACAATGTCACTGTCTTTGGCCGAGACTTGCACCTGCGGCTGCGGCCCAACCACCGCCTCGTGGCGCCCGGGGCCACTATGGAGTGGCAGGGCGAGACGGGCACCACCCGCGTGGAGCCCCTGCTCGGGAGCTGTCTCTACGTTGGGGACGTGGCCGGCCTAGCCGAAGCCTCCTCTGTGGCCCTCAGCAACTGCGATGGGCTGGTGAGTACGCACTTCCCTCGCTCCTTTCTCTCCGCTGCTCTAGCCTGGGATTTGGAAAAGGGTTACCTAGGAGTTCCTTGGGAGGGGGAGGCCAGCGCCGAGGACTTTCTCTGCCCTCCCCGCGCTTTAGGGAGCCTCGTGCTCCAATTGAAGGGGTTGGATGGAAGACAGGTTGTTTTGATTGGTCTGAGCAAGGGGCCATTTATACATGGGGAGGGCCCGGGTCTTCAAAAGGCTCAGCTGGCAGCAGCGAGCACATCTCTCTTTTGCCTGTCTGCACAGGTCTCTGGCTTGTATGGGTGTGTGTGTGTATGTGTGTGTACCTGTGTGAGTGTGTGCACATGTGCTCTGGAACGTTAGTGTGTGCCTGCATCTGGTTGCCTGTGCACCTGTGTGAACATGTGTGTGTGTCACTGTCTCTTGTGCGCGTGTCTGTGGGTTTTTGCACATACATGTGTTGAGTATCTGTTGAGTGCACGTCTGCCCTTGTGGATATTGGCATGCATGATATATGTGTGGCGGACTTATAGACTGGCAGTCAGTCTTCCTGTTTCCTTGTGTGCAGGTGATGCCAGCCCAGGGAGCAGGCAGTGGTGCTGAAAAGCCCAGTTAGCCTTCTGCCCCTTGGCTGACTGGAAACCACTGGTTTTCCTGCTCTGGTTTCCTGTTAAACTCCAGCTGGTTATTTGAAAAGTTGGTTTTCTCTATTTTGAGCTGAGGGTTGCATTTGGAAATGAAGGCTCTAGTGCCCATGAGCTGCTCAATCTTTTGAGGGCAGCCCCTGAAGGACAACAGAGAGGCTAGGGGGTCCCTTTTGGAACTGCCTGGTTCTCTCTAGTCCTGTGACTGGAGCTCTGGAAGCTCTGCTTCCTGGAGAGGGCAGGAGGGACTGTGGCTCAGCACAAGGGAGCCTCAGAGGAAGCCTGGATCGATGCTGAGGGAGGAGGCTGACATTGGCCGTGCTCTGTCCGGCTGCCTGGGGACTGGCACACAGCAGAAGCCACTGCAGTTTTCTATTTTGGATTGGGTGTGTGGTGGTCAGGCTGGCTGTCCTGGCCAGACATCTGAAGCCGCCCACCATGGGCTCCGCTCTAATTGCTGCTCGGGGCGAGTGGCCACTCCCCCAGCCCCGTGGGCCCTGAGCACACCCCTACTCAGGCACTCAGGCTCTTGCTACATTCTGCAGAGCCGGCAATTACACCAGGGCCCCACAGCCGCTGCCATTCTTTTTATGGAGACACAAAATGTCACTTGTTGCTTCGGAAAATCACTGCCTTTGGCTGGATTTAGTTAGAACCTGGGCATATTGCAAACAACTGTAAATATCCCTGGAGGAGTTGGGTTAAAGTGGCGAGCCCTTTACATTGCCCACTGTCTCCGAGGATGTCCTGGGCCTCAGAGGTGTGTCCCATTTTACAATGGAGGTGAATTTCCTAAATGAAAGGAGGTGCTTGCTGCCGACTTAGGATGAGACGAGGTGGAGGGAGTTGACATGGGGATGCAGTCTGTTGGCGGGCTGACATCTGTGTACTATGAATTCCTGATGGAGAATGTTTTGGTGAGGACTTGTCACTGTTTCATTCATTCAGCAGTTCATGTGGTGATTCATTTCTTCAGCCAGCACCTTCCCATGTGTTTATCCCCTGTACTGGTCAGTGATGAGGCAGGTCTGGTACCCACCCAGGGCCTCCGGTCCTCAGGGTGGCTGACGGAGCTCTGGCCAATACTTGAAGAGTGTGCTCCTAGGGGGCTGTTTGAATGGGGGCTGGAAGAATGAGAGGCCAGCTGGAAAAGATGCAGGTTGGCAACCTGGGCAGAGGGAGGAGCGTGTGCAGAGGTATCAGGTGTGAATTAGCCAGGGCAGGACAGGCCTGCTGAGGTGTCCCGTGTACCAGAGGTGGGAAGAATAATTGGGGTTGGAAAAGGGGCTGGACCTCCCTGAGCGGCCTTGAATGCTGTCAGTGAATAATGGCCTCGGACAGTGGGACAGCACCATTCCATTGGTTCTTCTTCTTTTCTTTTCTTACTTTTTTTTTTTTTGTTGTTGTTGTTGTGTATGTGTCTGTTCTGCTTTTAAATCCCCCTGTGCTATTATGATAGGCTTCTTTGCTAAGGACCTGGGGCTTTACCCAGGTTGCCTGTTGTCCTCACAGAGCCCCTGTCGGGGAGGCATTTTCATCCCTGGTTACAGGTGGAACACTCAGGCTCTGTGAGGTGGAGTAGCTGGAGAGAAGTTATTTGTAATATCCACATCGAGGGGTTAAAATGTACCTCTGCACAAGGCATGAGCCAAAAATGCTGAACAAAGTGTTCTTGTACATCACATTGCTACAGAAGAGTTTTGCAGTATCTCTCAAGCCGCATGGTAGGTGTGCTAATTTCACATGATTTTTACATGCTCATTAAATACCCAGTGAGAAGGCTTTTGGTGTAAAAGGTAATAATGATAAGTGACAATCGACTGTGTTCCTATTAATGTTATGTGCCAGGCTCTCTGCTGAGCCCCCATGCCACATTGCCTTGTTTAACCCTCACAGCACCACATGGAATATGTCCCCAAATCATCCCCCTCTACAGATGAATAAACTGAGGCTCTAAAGGTTGAGATAGCTTGCTTCAGGCTTTAAAACCAGCATTTGAACACATATCTGTCTGATTTTGAGGCCATCCTCACTACGTTTTATTGCCTTTTTCTGCATGCCTACAAAAAGAATTTTTAAAATACATTTCTTTAAAACATTTCCTACCTTTCTTATTCGACTCCCAGAGACATTCTCATTGTAGATTTGACCGCCATCAGCGTGAGTGCAGCCAAGAGCAGTCCTGGGAGCTAAGTAGCCCTTGAGTGGCTGGTGACCTGCGCTGGGCTGCAGCTCCTATGGGTGGCCTAAGTTCTCACTGGTGGGGGACTGCAGCTGGGACTTCCATAGGATGGAAGCAACCCTGCCCACCTCTGCCTCCCCACTCAGGGCAGCACAGGGATCCTCTCCCACCTGGCTGGGCAGGGCCAGTGGAGAAAGCCTCCATGGGCTGGGTGGTGGAGACCGTCTGCCCTCCCAGTGCTGGTCCAATCCTGGGGCCCGAAGGAGGAAGTGTATGCCCTTCCCTGGGGGCTTGATGCGAGCCCCACAACCCTATGAGTTAGAGCTGTCCCATTTTGTGGTTGAGGCTCAGAGACATCCAAGGTCCTTTGGCAAGAAGGAAGCCAGGGCTGCTGCCTTTCAGGCTGGGGCTCCCCTGTGGGGCTGCTGTCCGGGCCAGGTACCCACTCTGTCTTGCTGGACATTACGAGTCATAAAGGCCACAGAGAGAAGTCAGAAGCTGGCCTAAGGGATCCAGATGAGCTTCATTTTTCCCAGTAAGGCTGCTGCCTTCGAGACCACACACTGGGCTCCAGCAGGCTCAGGTGCTAGAGCAGATCAGGCAGGTGTGGGTTGGCGGGGGCCTGGGACTGTGCAGTGCGGGCCAGGGGCACCTGGGATTTGCAGCTGCCTGTGGTAGGGTCTTCCTTCCTCCCACCTCTTCTTGGCACTACCTGGATTGCAATGAGAGGTTGTCAGGAAGATCAAAGAGGGGCTGCAGGAACCTCTGGGTTCTCTAGGGTGTTGGGGCTCCCCAGGTAGGAGCAGAGGCCCCTGTGGGCCCCAGCTGCAAGCAGCCTACACAGATGCTAAGGCCACTCTCAGCCTCTGCCAAACTTGTTACCCTCCGCCAAACTTGTCACCCTCCTTGTTTAAGACTTACTCAGTTTAAGTGACAGAAACCCCTGCTCATAGTGGCTGAAACAAACAAGGAACACCATGGGTCTATTATCTGGGGTCCTGAGGAGTGTCGGCCTCAGGCGTGGCTGAATCCAGAGGCTCAGAGCATGCCATCCATCTCTCAGCCCTGCCACTCGGCATTCATTTCAGAAATGCTCTCCATGCCTCAACCCCAGCCCATCACATGGGGCCACCAGCAGCTCCAAGCCCAACTTGTTTTCCAAGGAAGCAACCCTCTGAAATGGAAGGTCCTCCTCTCCGGGTGACACCTGTGAAAGTTGGGGGAGGGATCTGAGGCCCGTCTTCAAACCCATAGCTGTGGTACAGGCCTAGCCCAAGTCTCCTACCCACCTTTGAAACTGGGGGAGGGACAGACTCCCAAACTTTAGAATGGAGAGGGGCCTATCGTTTGAGAAAGGAGGAGGACAGTTGTGTAGGATGGTGAAAATGGGTGTGGCCACCCTGTCCCTGGACTCCAGACCCCATGTTGGGCTTAGGAGTCCTCCTGGCTCCAGGCTTGCCTGCTCGGCTGCCTCTGGAACCCCTTCCCTGGATGACTCCATACTCCTCAAGTCACTTAGGTCTCCCCACTCTCCTCCAGACCCCATCTTTTGAGGGTCACCCTCCTCTAGCCAGTTCCAATCCTAGAGCTGTCAGGCCCCAGCTGCCCTCCACGCCTGGTGCCAAGCCCTGCCTCTGCTCCCAAGCCCCCCAGCGCTCCCTGGTCTCTCCCCAACAACCCTTCTCCAAGCTGCAGCCAGAGGGGCTTTTATAAACCACGCAGGAACTCATGTTATGCCTTCGCTTAAGACCTCTCAGTGGTTCTTATTGCTCTTAAAAAAATCCAAACCCACTGGCCTGACATTCAAGGCCCCTGTGACCTGGTCAGGGCCCTCCAGCTCCGACCTGAGTCACATGCTCTGCTGGTCTGGAATGAGACTCTGGGAGCAAGGGCTGCACGGGGAAGAACTCCAGTGTTCTCCTCAGGTGCCCCTGAGAGTGGGGGGGAGTGGCTCCCTCCCCCACCACCTTACCTGAGCTGAGGTCCCCTACGGAGATGCCCAAGGCACCCAGCAGTGCAGCGCAGTCCCTCTGGAGGCAGCAGTCAGCCTCAGAAGGGGGTCCGAGGAGCAGCATCCACACCATCTACCTCCACTTGGGGCTTTAAACCCAGCCCCTGCAGTCTTCCTGGGAGCCAGCCACTGTGGCCCCATTTCACAGGTAGGAAACCGAGGCTCT